ACTTAGATAGCATGGACAAATAGTTTTGAGGGCAGATAAAAGAGAAATTATAGTTACGGATAGAACAAATTATAGAGAAAAGATGAAGCGGGTTTTAGGTGGTTCTAATACGTAAAGAATTATAACTAAGGACCCCATCAGGAGTAGGAGTTAGAAGGGATAATAAAAATCTAAGGTGAGAACAATTATCCCTTAGGATTGATTTTAAAAATTTCGAAATACTAAAAAATAGGAAGGAACCCATTTTTTTATTACAAGACAGGGAATAAGACGGCTCTTCATCCATGTTTCTAAAGCTAGCGTGCTGCCAGATTTCAAGTCACATCTTGTTCAATAAAACCAAGAGAAATTAAGCAATTGCATAAACAAATATGAATAAAAAGTAAATGTTAGCATTTGAAAGCATAAAAACGATGAATGATTATGAAAAGGGGACAGTTAATAAATATAAGGTAGAAAGAAGGCAAGTAGAAACAGATAGGTTGTTTATTATCTAATCATTTGAAATATTGATGTAATACTGATGAGTAGTGAAATGATATACTCACCTTATCGTAAAGGTTGTGAACTAGTAGAATATGGCTCAATATATTTGGCACAAACTGTGGAAACGAGGGAAGACTGTTGCTAGTGGATGGAAGTTGGCGAATACGAAAATTCTGGAAAATAGAAAATAAAAGGCGAATTGGACAGAAGAGAGCTAGAATTAGTGAGAGGTATAAATGTAGAGAAAGGATTTAATGTAAGCAGCAGTGAGCAAATCACTGGGATTAATTGATACAACATCTACATATGTAAAAATAATCGCCAGAGGGAGAGTAATGCAAATATAAGGAAACAGGTCCTTGCGTAGTGAGTTCAAGAGGGGCAGATTCATATCACATGACCAAAGTAACAACAACCAGCAGATCATGAATGAGTTAGTCAGTCGAGAAAACATCGTTTTTCAGATAGTTAGATATAAATTGATGGGAATTCTATCCAAAAAGAATTGAACAACTGTAAACATTGAAATTAAGTAAAACATGTAACCCAAAATGATATAATCGTTTAGGGAGAAACGAGCTTTTGATAAGCACCTAATGGAGGTTCGAAAGTGATTTAAGATAGCCAATTGAAAGGATATGATCGTATTTGAGAATAATGTCTACTGAAAAATAAAATATTCAGATCATTAAGTAGATACATGAGTGCAACAGTGAACACAGTTTACCTTATCCATACCAAAGCGTAGAGAGACCTGTGTAACAGGAGTTGGATGATAGTTAGTCACTGTCGCGAGAAAAACATTAGCTTTACATGAGATGGCCGAGTCCAGATTCTGTGGATCTAAACGAAATCGATTGTCTGTATAATAAAGAAGTAAAACAATTCCAGACTTCGATAAATCGCTGGGGGGTGGATACAGTTGGAGCGGATGGGAACCCCAAGCATGATGTGGCTTGATGTCTGAGAGTGGCAAAGAGATTTTAGACAAGTCGGAGAATTCAACTGAGGAATTATCCTGGGGCTTCTGGAGTCCGTTTACTCCAATGTCAGGATGCGCGCTTGAAATTCCATTCGCTGCATCACCTGTATTGACAGGCTTTGTGCAATTCAGAGGTGCTGAATCGGCCATAGGGTCGAGAAGTGTAGTGTCATCCAAAGTTTTGCAATGATGTCCAGAAGAAACATTGCTGGTTGCTACGATTGTAGAAGTGTTTACAACTGGCACACTTGGTGATGAAGGTGAGGAAGATACGGGGGTCTTCTGGTTCAAGCCTAGAGAAGGAGTCGAAATCGACGAAATCGATTTTGTCTGAGAGGAGCTTCAAGTGGAGATGTGGGGTATGAAAGGAAGCATAAAATATAGAAATTATAAGCGCACATCAGGATTAATCTTCTAATAACTTAAAATCATAGCATAATTCAGAATTTCAAATGAAGTGCAAATTGATTTGAATGCTAAGTTTTCAAGAATGTACTCCATAGTAAAGCACAGAGAACTGTTAGTGAGGTACCTTGACTAGAGTCAGTCGCAGGAGCCACGCTTAGCGCCAAACTGAAACGTAGCACATGCATAGTTGGTATGCCATGAGAGTATAAAAATATCGTAAATAAGAGGTGTAATCAACCTAGGTTGCGTAAGGTGAAGCATCAATAGTTTATTCTTCCCACAGTAATACGATTACACCTTAAGATAGAATGAAATTCGGTTGGCCTTGTCTCCCGAATAATATCAAAAATCCAAGAAGGATCTCATTTATGATCTCGCCTGTGCATCGTCAGCACACTTTACGAGAATAGAACTTAGGTAGTGCAGCGTATAATTTGAACGCATTACCACTAAACCGCATTGCTCCGGGTGCCAATAGGCCATAGAGAATAGCGACTTTCAAGGCCATATCATATGTATAGTGGAATTATTAATTAAGGAAATGCGTAATTTCCCACTTAAATCGAGTAATTTATGTTATAATCATGGTAAGCTGGCTTTGATACATCTTATCAGCGTAGCGTCGAGAAGCGCTGGTTCCTCTAGTGACCCCTTCAGCCCACAAAAGCGTTGCCAGTTTCGGGAGCAGAAAAGGAGAAATAAATATGGAAAGATCTTAACCACCAGTTCAAACTCAGAAAGATAGCAGTCTGGTGAGAGGTAGGATGAGTAAGAAGATCAAGTGTGACGTATTTAGCATAAATAATCAATAATCCTTGGTAGGAACTTAATGAAAGCATCACTTCAGGGCTTTTCTTTTTCTCACACTTTCATTCGAACCGGTAAATTTAATAATTAAACCTTAGATATGAAAACCAGTCTTATGGCTTCTAACTTGCTAGCAGTCTCCTATCGCTTAATAGAAGTAGTAAGACCTTGTTTTCATAAACCTAGCCTTGATGTCAAAGGGACCTAGATAAACACCATATTACTACTATGGTAGTTATAATTCCCAGCGTCGAATCGGAAAACATGAAATTATCGAAAATATATCCCTTGCACATATAAATAGGATTCGTTAATCTGCAGCGGGACTCATATCTAGTTTCATTGATGATCCAAAATGCAATATCAACCCATACTACAATACAAGACCAGACGAGATGCCTGGTAATGAGGATCTCGCTTAACAAACAGCCCAATATATATACATATATACGTCATGCGATAAATAAAACTCAGAAAGTTTTCATAATAGCAGAAAAAGTGTCTCGAGGACTGTGCCAACTTGTACGTCCCAGTAAAAACAAACGACAACTCAACAACAATCAGGCTCATATAATGACAAAGTAATATGCCTCATCACCAAATAATGATCTCTTCACTAAGATTTCACCTAATATTTGAAAATATATCTTCTCAAATTTTTTTAGTAATAGTAAGCCTACAAGTATGTCGTACTATACAGAAGCAACAACAATACTTGCTGCTAATTAAGAATGATTGCTAGAGCTGTGAAGAAAAGAATCGAGGGAGCAAACCTTAATGGAACTCTTGAGATAATAACATCTCCAATTAACCTCATTCGATGC